AAGAAATGAATTGTATCGCTGAAGTTTTTTTTATTTTATTTTGGAAAGAATTTCTTCGGAAAATTAACCAACGACCAGAGACGTAACAATACCATAGTTAAATTTACCTGGGATTACCAGCTGTTTTTATTTAGATTGGTTTTGATTTTTTAAACAGTTTTATTTATTAATTTTTGTCTAGCAATACCAGTACTTTGCTCACCAGCGTTCCTTTTTTTTATGAATATTATTTCTCTTATGCTTTAAACATTTGAAGCATTCATCATCTTAGTGAAAGCTAGAGGGCATAATTTTTTTCTTTGCTCTTTTTTATGTTGTTCTTATTGGATTGTAGCTATGTAAGTTGGTATATTGTATGCATTATGCGGTAAATTATTGTTTGCTTATTATAAATTCTTTTCAGACTTCAAGGTGTAACTTAAGACTAAAAATAAAAGTCGCAGTAAAATGTAGATCATCCCTACAGTGTAATAAAAAAAATGTTATTTGCTACTTTCACATTGAAATAATCATTTAGATTCGTAATGTGTACAGTGACTGTGGCATTATTATCATTGTTATTGTTTGTTAAGCACAAAGCTACATAATGGACTGTCTGTGTTGTGCCCATCACGGGTATCAAAACCCGCTTTTTAGTGTTATAAGTCTTCAGACCTCATTACAAAAAAATTTGCTTCTTGATCAACTATTGAAAGTTAAAGCGTGTAAAAGTAAATTTAAAACTTAGCTTCATGGTAATCTGAGATGAAAATGAAGAATATATGCCTAAGAATGTTAACACTTGAATAAAACTTGTTCGTGATTATAAAAATATATAAAGTAAAAAATAATGTTGTAGCAGTTTCCATTCTTGGCGAATTCTTTTGTATTATTCGGTAAAAGTATAATGCAAAGTCTGGTCAACTTAATGATAATTAAAGCATTTTATTTGATGAATTGCACATTTTAGAGTTACGTTGATAAATGTTCACCGACAGGCGTAAGTTTAAATTAGACGGGCGCTGACATAGCAGTTGCGTTATTTGCTAATTACGTCGCATCTCTTGTACTTCGTCAAAACACAAACTAAATATTCACAAAACTCAACTAATGGTAAAACGACTAAGAAACTCGTTAATTTAAGAACAGACTCGCTATTAATCATTGTTCAACTTCGCCATTTTTAATCTGTTGAAATCGTTTCGAACAATAATACAAATGTCTAAATGAAAAAAAGAAAAAAAAACATGATCTACTATAAAATTATATTTTTAGTTCGAGAGTAGCTGAACAAAGAAAATATAATAGACCAATCTTCTTTACTTCTCTGTTACAGACCATGCGTGAGAAAACATGCGTACTATGATGCCAGAAAAATGTTACTTTAAGTAAGCCATTATTTTTTCAGTCATTGAGCATTTACTGTATAATAAATTTTACTTATTCCTTTAGTGTTGTTCAAAATAACATATATTTAATTCAAAGTAATCATTTTAGATTTTTTTTTCCTTTTTTTGAGCCTAGTGGCAAACAAGAAAACTATGGTCGATAAGCATCGAGCCAGCCTTGACGTCAATCAGAATCCGTGTAGAGTCAGCCATTACGAGGCAGTACGCATGCTTGAGAGTACGCTACAGATCAATGTCTGAGTTTCAATAATGGGCGTTCCACAAAGTAAAATTTTCGGCCTACTGATCTTGTACGTCACGTCCGAATATTATTTAGCTGAACAAATACAGTTCATCCAAAGCATACATTTTAACAGAGAAAAGTCGGTATTTACCAGCTTTCAACTACCGCGAATAGTCGAAACATTTTGTCGAGGAAACTATTTGTTAACAAACTATGGACTGCTGTGTTTTAGATTTAAAAAAAAAGACTGATGATCATTAATGTAGAATGACGATAATTGGCTTGAAGCAACTTTTTTCTACACCCAACGTATTTTGTAAATAACTTGCATTTTTAAAATAGCCATTACGTTTTTCATTGAAGTTGTACCAGATCTATAGCGTAATATTTATTGTTCAGATAATGAAGCTTGACTGTGTGGATAGAGTAACATCGAAGATATTTATGAAACTAGGCCACAGAATCGGTCGTTCTCCTGGGTATTTTATCATTGTTCCGCTTCTAGTGGCAGCATTATTTAGCACCGGTATTCAGCGGATCAACTACCAGGATAACCCTGAGTACTTGTTCAGCCCGAGGGATGGACGATCCAGGAGTGAGAGAAAGACAGTGGAGAAGTATTTTCACGTAAGAACATCAGAAAACTTTGACCTTGGCCGACTAACGAGACCTAGTCGTTTAGGTCGTTTAATCGTGGTTGCAAAGGATGGTGGTTCAATTTTAACAAAGGCAGTTTTTAAGGAACTTGCCCATCTTGATGACATCATACAAAATTTGAACATTACTTGGGAAGAGGAGACTTACACTTATAAGGATATGTGTGCAAAAGTTGAGAGAAATAGTTGTTTTGAAAATGATATCTTAGACTTTAAGGAAAAAATTAAAGACATAGAAGAAGGACGACAGTTACTACAGTACCCAGTAATGATCAACAAGGTCACTCAGAAGCGATATAACATGGCAGCTTTTCTTGGTGGAGTCCAAACGGACGAACTGGGCTTTGTTGAACAAGCTTTCGCTTTTAACCTTTTTTATCCTCTTGACACTGATATTAAGAATGGACAAGCAAGATCAAAACTCTGGGAACAAATTTTTTTGCAAACGCTAGAGGACCTTCAACTGGAAGAGATTACCTTTGGTTACTTTGTATCAGATACTCTTGAGAGTGAGCTCGAAAAGAATACTCAAAGTGTTAAACCATATTTTATTGTTACTTTCGTAATCATGATTGTATTCTCCATCTTGGCTTGTGTAACGTTCGATTCGGTACGGAGTAAACCGTGGTTAGGTGTATTAGGTTGTTTCTCAACGTGTATGTCTTTGTCAGCGGCGTTTGGCTTGGTCATTTATTGTGGACTGGACTTTATCGGAATCAATTTAGCAGCACCTTTTCTCATGTTAGGTAAGTATCTTCATAAAGTTATAAAATGTTATTAAATTTTTAGATATAGAGGTTATTTTAATGTACTTCGTTTCGCTTACTAAAGCCAATGAAAGACAAAATAGTGTTTATCAATTTTAATGAGAGAATAATGCTTTAAAGAACGCATTTCTAAACTGCCATTTCAAGTTAAATTCTAGTTTAGGGTATAATGCATTGATAGCAAACTGAAATGGGCTATTATGTTTCATAGAAATTTCATCCCATATCATGCTTTGTAAATCAGAAACATAGTTTTTCCTTACCACTTACATAACAATAGCACCGAAATTCAACTTTTAGTATTGTTTCCCCTGTGTATTATGACACTTGAGTTATAAAGCCAGATATTAACATTTTATGATCAAATATTGAAGTAGAAGTAGTATGTTTTCAAGCTTACCATCTAATTTCAAAGTATTTTACTTCTAAGTATAAATCTTTGACATTTAAACTGTCCTAAACTTATACTTCTCACAAGAATTACGGTTTAATAGCAGAGGCTCACATTCAACACTGCAATTAGCGCGATTCCTCACTGAATGTGATGCAATTATGTAAAACAATACAGCTTTATATTGTTTTATAGACCTCAAGACATCCAGATGAAGCAATATAAAACTACTTAAAGCTTCTAATGATTTGAAAAGTACAAATTTATAATTTTTGAGGTTAATATGAAGACAAATTGATGAAGAAGTTTGCAAACACCAGTGGTCCAAGGGCTCCCTTCAGGAAGTACATGGAAAGGAAAGGGCAGCATAATGTACAGATCCCATTGTGGTCCACCGAGATAGAACTAAATCAGTTGAATACGAATATAAAAGTTTGAGAACCATTAGTGTAGATTCATTAGAACTATATTAATTGTATTTAATATCTGTGATACAAAAATTGTCTAAGGGGTTTCTCAAGTATGATATACAACATTGAAATAATATTACAAATATTTATATTTTAGAGAAACAAAAATATAAACAAATGTATCTTTCTTATGCACTCATGTTTCAACAAAACATGCAAGAATTCAGATATGCATCTATCAGTACGGCAGTAAAATATATAAGCAAAGCAAGTAATTACTTTGACGTTTGTAGCTTTTGTACGCTTGATGTTGTTGGAACGAGATATTACTAAGTAAATTTAGTTAGATACAATAACTTAAGTAAAAACAAATAAATTAAATTACTATCTCTCTGTGGGTACCATGCCCACCTAGGGCATTGGTGAGCATGTTCTTCCACTGACCTCTGTCTCCCATTGCTCTTATCATTTCTATAGTGGTAATTCTTAGTCATGTTTCAATTGTCAATTTGTTGTTAGTGAATATAGTCTTCATCTTTAAAAATGCTTCTTTTGCAATTCCTATTCGCCTTTTGATTTCGTGATCACATTTTTCCGTCTGATGATATTCAGCTTCCAAGACATTTAAGTTTATTTATCTGCTTGATTGTTTCATTCCCAATGGTTAATCAACATTCTGGTATTTCCTTCTTCTTAGTGATCACTATACATTCAGTCTTCTTGCATTTGATGGCTAGTCCTTTTCTCATACTTTCCATTACAACTTTATTAAAGATTTTCTGTAGATCTTCTTTCGTACCAGCAATAAGCACAGTATCATCTGCATATCTTACATTGTTTACATTTTTCCCACCAACCATGACCCCATGCAGGTCTTGTATCTCACGGAGTATGATTTCATTATATTGGTTGAATAGATCTAGTGAGAAAACACATTCCTGTCTAACTCCTCGTTGTATCTCGATATATTCACTTACTTGATTTTATATTCTCACAGCTGCTGTTTGTTCCCAAAATAAGGTTTCTGATTATTCGGAGGTCTTTCCCATCTATGTCTAAATTTTGTGACATTTCAAAAAGTTGTCATGTTGTACCTTACCAAAAGCTTTTGCATAATCAATAAAGAAGACAAACAGGTCAAATTAAATTGCTATACTTGTGTTATAATACTAATTAAAACACATTTTGAGCTGCTTTTCATAAGTATGCGAAAAAATATTTCAAACTGGAGTTCTAATACACTGAGAGCTGTTTTTCGGGCATTTTGTCAGGACCAGCGCTTTCCGACAATGAAAAGATTATGAATATTAATACCAGCGCCACAAAAGCTTCAAGCTATGGGCGTGAACAGGGAACGATTTTTGATACAGACCTAGACAAACCCACCTAATATTAATTTCCATCTCAGCCCA